ATGATTTTTATGCTTTATATATTCTTCTTTGTCATTGAATGTAATTATGTTTTACACCAAAAGGAATGATAGTCAAGTAACTTTCTGTAACTGTTTGACAATCTGCAATGCTTGTATTTGTAATTACTTTTTTCTCCTTTCAGTAATTTGGGAATACAATAACTGAATAGAATTGAGTGATATCTGTTGAATGATAAGCTGAGTGATACCTGTTTAATCATAAATTCAATAACAACTTGATTTGGTACAGGTGAGTCAGCAAGCCTAGTAAGTATCTTCTTTGGTTGAGTATCTTCTCCCTTCATGTTCCTGGAACTGTTGGCAATACCACTTGTTAAATCCAGTAATCTTGGAAATCTGCACATCATTACCTCGTTCACTTGATCATCAACTTGTAAGTAACGTCTTAGGCTATCCATGTATTCTAAAGCTGCTAGTTCATACCTGCAACAGTTAAAAAAATTGCACTTAGCAAATGCTTACAACATATCAAAAAGGTATTGGATGTACATATTTAATAAAAATGTTAAATAAAAATACTTATACCATTAAACAAAATTTAAAGCAACTTACTTTCCCTCTGCATGTACAGTACATGCATTGGTCCAAGCATATGGTTTAGCAGTGAAGTTAGAGCTCCATTGTACTAAGCCTGTGATGGTATCGGGGCAATGTACCATGATTAGTGCACTTACAACTTTCTGCAACACCTCATCAAATAGCGCCTAACAAAATAAATAATACCAGAATTATTTAAAACAGAAAGAAAGCAGAATTACTACTGATCAAAACAAGTTTACATAGATTACATCAGGATCCCCAGTCGCTCAAGATCCGCAAGAGTCTCTCTTAAATAAATTTTGCAATCCAGTATACAAAATCTCCCAGAAACTAACACAACTCCTGCAAAACTCATGATGTGTGCAGGTATTTACTATCCTAACAGTATTATATATTTTCTCCCTGAAGTCTCAGCTGGTCATGGGTATTCATCATGTGCAGGAAAATACTAGAGCAGTTATAACACAATTGGACAAAACCTGTACTTGAGTTCGCTGAAGTACTAAACTATAACTTGTTAGTGTATGGGACCAAGTGTCTTATGAAATGCCATGACTTACTGTTGAACTATTAGTTGACTTGAGACTTTTAAGCAACTCTAGCCCAT